GAGGCATCCAATGAACTCAAACACACAGACATATTGTTTTTCCATTTTCACAAATCCAAGCTCCTCTATTTCCAAGAAACAATAAAACAGCTTGTTTGTTTAATGGCAATTTTAGATTAAAAGAATATTATACCTGGCGGCCAACTTCATTATTGTGCTCATTCATTCGTGCACGCGGTGGAAGATCGGCTGTTGATTTGCGCTCCGAGAAATCGCTGTTAATATATGTCCAGCTGTCATCGAGAAGCTCCTTGAAAGACACCTCGCATTAATCCAAAGATAACACATTGTTACTGTCGTGATTGCTAAATCTCGACTTGTGATAAACTGTATAAAATCAATATTTTTCTAGCTGTCTTCTTTTTTGATTGACATCGACATGTTTGTATTTCTGTACCTTTGTTATGCTTCTAGTCCTTTCACGCCGCTTTGTTCTCATCTTATACTTTCGCTTCGACGATGGAGGTCTCGAATCAACAACATGTTCGACGATGCATAACCCCTCCCCTACTCCTCTCCACTCCTTCCCCCCACCTTTATCATTTCCACGACTTTAGCAACGGTGGACGGTGGATCGACGCGACGACGGATGAACAACAACGACGGGCGATGAATCGACGAGGCGCTTGTTGTCTTGTCATATCCACGTATATTCGACATGTATTCATTCGTGTCGTGCATATTGTTTATATATGATAAAGGTTATATTATCCAAGTTTGAGGCAACGGACGATTTGACGAGTGGGCCTGAGGTCTTCACTAAATAGCGACGGAGCGATGTTCGCTGACCAAACAATTGACGTCTAGTGGTATTCCCGCACTGCCTGCGAGCCGACCAAGTCAAGGAATTCTAGCAGTATTTGCTGGCAGTAGAATTTTTCCAAACTTGCACGCACTTGATACTTGAGGACACGAACCATAAATACAATTAATTACTTGTTGTGGAGCACTGCGACCTGAGGAAGTAAAAAAGACAATTCCTCCTCCACAATAGCTGTGAAGCTTGGCGAAGCTAATGAAGACTGCTCGAGTGAAGTTTCACAAAATGGTGTTTTTGATGTTATCAAAACACCCTCATTTTCTAGGCGAAGTTTTCCAACTTCGACCAAGAATGGTACTTCTGGTTAGCGGATAACATCAGGGTCATTCGTTGGTCGCAAAATGACCCTTACTGTCTAAATTTGGCCGAAAAAGGTCGAAGCAGTATTTCCTTGGCTAGTTAACTTGTGAATACTGAGGACTATATGTACTGGATGATACATAATGGAAGCAGAAAAACAGTTTGTGCTTCATCCCTTAGCTGTAAACATGGGCGGAGCATTACCTGTGGATAGATGCGCATAGTCTGATCCAGAACGGATTCCTGGGGAAGGGGGCCACAAGCCGAGGAGGAGAGGGGTGGTGAAGAGAGTGCCTCTTACTCTGGAACCATGCAGGCGCTAGAGAGAGTTGTAACACTGCTACTTAGAGTTACTTTAGTTTAGAGTTAATTTAGGCTTTAATTTACTTTAGTTTCGGCTTTAGACCCGAGCTTTTGCAGCACTAGTGCTTGTGCCGCGAAAGACCCATCGCCTGCTCCCTCCTAGATCTGCCTAAGTAGACGTGAGAATCATCAGTATAACCTTACCCTTACTCGATTAACATAATTATAGAACTATAATTTTTTACAATGCAGAGATCATACTCGATGATGTCGTCTCGAAGCAGCAGTCGCGTTACCTGATCGCCACTTTTTGCGCCACGAAGCATCTGCCCATTCACGACTGACTCGCTGTCCATAAAGCACGTTGTCGCTACATCCCTTCCACTAAAACACCCGTAATTAGTTTTGTTTTCGCAAATTCTTAAATAGCATTCTTGTCCCTGCATTAAGTATGCCAGCTGAAGGATGGTGGTATTTAATACTGCTATCACTACCTTATAGGTGGCATCAGCGGAAGCGGTCGGTGAATTGAGGCCGCATGGACAATAGGGCAAATCGCCGGACACACAAGCTTTCGCCACATGGTGTGTTAATGCTGCGGATGAGAGCGCATACACATATGCTTGCTCTTTTGTTCCTGAAATGAACATAATTGATAAACGAACACCCTTACCATCCGCACAGAATCATCCCTGATGGATCCCAAGGATGATTTAGAGGTAAAGTGTACAGTGGAGATTGGCAATGCTGCTACTTTCGTTATTTTCACGGATATACAATGAATTTATTCCAAGAATGGATCCCAAGAAAGATTTAGAGGGATCCGATGTTAGCGAGATTACTGGGATGCTTGCACAGGTTAGACGCAAACTAAGATTATCTGCATATCTCCGCGTATATTTTGCTGCACAGCTATGAGATAGAAATGATAAGTAAAATATATGTTTCAGATATCCAATATGTATTTTGCACGTAAAACACATCGTGGATTTGCGGGCAATTTGCGAACTGCCCTTCGTGCGAGCAAATCGTAATCCACAGTAAGCAGTATAAGTAAAATAC